GCCAGAGTTATTCGGAGAAACCAGTCTTGACCAGAGTTGAAAGTTTTACCAATTTTGTTTTTATCTTTTAAATTACAGGTATCCACCAAAACCTTTATTGAATGTCCAAAATCTTTAAAATTGTTCATCCAGACTTTATGCGATACGTTTTCACACGGTTCCTGGACTTTAAAGCATACAGACCCACAACAGGTATTCTCCATTGTAGACATCAACTCTATGTCATACTTGCATATCACAAATATACATACTGAATTTGCTTTCCTATTTCCTATCATGCCCCCCCCCCCCTCTCCATAATAGTCTGGAAACATTGTCTACATTTTGCTCATTACCATCTAAATTTATTCCCACATCACAAAGAAAGGGTTAGTTGCGCTTTCATTTCTGTGACAACTGTTTGTTCAGGACATTAGCAGTGTGCTATATTAATTAATCAACCAATCAAAATTGAGGTAACATTTTCAGACTTTTATGCAGAGAGCAGAATGATCTGCAAAGCACAATAGGAAGGTTAGTAAGTTGGAGACGTTTCTATTGTCAAAAAAGTAATATTTTATTTATTCAGTGTACAACGAATGTCATGTTTTCTTTATACACTTCTATTGGAGATGTGCTTCTAATAGGGCAAATGTACTACTCAACTTCATATTTTAATTATTTAGGAAATATTTTCTATTTTGCAGCTGTTTGTAACAGGTGGTGGATAGCAAACAAACTGAATTAAATGGGCTATTAATATATAAATGGAAAAAAAATGTGGTTGTCTACACTGTTCAATTCAATTATATTATTATTTACACTGAATATCAAATTTATTGATTAATTGATTGAGCAGATGTTATTATTGCTTTTATGATGGTTTCATAAGTTGGGAATACACATTGAATATGTATTACCACACATGTCCATATGGAGTTCTACAATTAACAAATTGTGACATTAATTGAAATATCACTATCTCATGTGGTATGGTAAACGTTATGATATTCAAATTACACATCATCATTTTGTACATTGGTGACATTGAAATAGATCTTACATTTCACATGTCTGGATCAATCAATCAAGTTCAACTTTACACATACACGGAGCCATTTCTCGTACATAGCTGGACCAATTAAATTAAAATCGCACATGCATTGTACATCAGGTTATGTTTCTCGCGCCATTGGTAATACAAACAGGGAATATTGACAATGACTTGTTTCAGTGTAACTGTGTAAAATGCATTTAACCTCACAAGACCATGGATTTACCAATCAAATCTCATATTCTGGATGTAATGTGTTATAACAATTCCTCGTTTTTCTTTTTATAGGTGCATTGGTTGTGTTTTTAGCTCTTCATATTTGTGATGAAGTCAACATGTATGGGTTTGGTTATGATTCTCGTTTTTCCATACATTACTATGACACTAAGTACATTGCACTTACCAAAGCATCAGTGGCCTCACATGATGTCGACAATGAGAGACAATTGTGGCAGAAATTGACTGATCAAGGCATTTTATACCTCTATAACAGAACAGATGTATAGACCATTTATTTTTATAGATGAATGCCAACAAACTTTCATGTGATCACCCTTTATATTTTACAAGAAATCACACTAGATATAATGAAGTTATCGTACAGGCAATTGGATGTTGAGAAGCAATGAATCTGTAAATATTTCATGAACCAGTGATGTCAGTAAAAACTCAGAGGCTGTTTGTCAAAAATGGTGTTCGTCATAATGGCTGTCATTTACAAAAGCTTTTACACCAAAAAATAATGTAATAAATATTAATATAAAAATTGAGTTGTAACAGTGATTTTAGATAACAAAAAATAAAATATTAACTGGTAGGAATATGCAGTTCAAAAGCTTAACTACTAATGAGTTAAATATTGTAGATTGCTTTGATTTTTATTGTCAAGAATTCTTTTTGGATTTAAATATATTAATAAAATTATTTTGCTGACTTTCAAAAGCATTATTTTGATAATGAATACCATCTTGAACATAACCAATAAATTTGTTGAAAAATTGAAAAATCATCTTGCCTTGCCTGCAATCAGTACAGGCACATCTTTGATCTTGCACAAAAACACAATTTATTAAACAAAAGTCTTAAATAGGGCTTTACAAATCAGCTAAAAATTACTATAATTTGAGCATTTTAAATGTGCCAGGTAAGGATTTTTATAAATCAACTAATAATTAACTAAACATTGATAACCTTGATTTTAGAGTATTACAAACTGTAATTCAAGCAACATATTTATTAGAATTGAAAATTATGGGATCAAACCTAATCCTGTGGTCAATATTTTGACCGGTAAAGTTGTTTTGCACCTTATTTTCATATTACATAGCATACAAGTTTGAGCTGAATATTTACGTTCATATTACAAGGAAACTCCCCACCAAAAAGTACCCACTGGCTGAAAATGTTCTAAAAATTCAATTGTAATCTGTAATTGTTTGACAAGAGACTAAAGATAATTGTTGACACAGGATGAATGGTTACTTAGTTCCTTGGTTATGCTGCACAATAACAAATTAACCTATTGACTAGTTGTATGATGATACAAAAATAATCACCCAGACTGAACTACCTTAATGTGTTGTATCTTTTAAATCAAGTTGTATTAGGGACAACATCGAAAGTTCAATGTCGGATAAAAATTTTAATTCCTTTAGTTTTTTCCCCACCCCCCAATGAAACTTAATTGATAAATTAAGTCATGGCGTCAGACTACATTCACCATTAAATACAAATTGATAATCAGACATTTTCTTGTCTTGGATGTTTTTTTTTTCATTTTCTGCCAGCTACCAACTACAAATACTCCAAGATTTTTTTTGACTTCATTAAAAAATAGGATGTTTTTGTAGGATGGAAACTTTTTGAGGTCAAACCCCCCACCCCCACCCCCAAACTAAAGCAAACAAGTTTTTTTTATTCGACATTGATCTTTTGACACAATCCCTTATCGTAGCGTTGTAGAATTGAGATAAGTATATTTTTATGGAATGTACGTATGCAATATTTAAACTTGACCTACTTTCTTTTTATACATTTATTTTATAATTTAATATTCCCATACTTTTGAGTTTATTGTTAATCTCTATTTATGCTGTACATAATACTTTAAGTCATTGAGGGCGCTGTTACTGTGGTATCCAAAGCAAATTTCATCTTGTTTCTTGAAATTGATGATTAGTAGACTAGATTTTGTGTCAATGACAGCATTTCACATATATTTTTTGTACTTTAACCTGTATTATTATTATTATTTATGTTTGCACCTCATCCTCAGATAAGAAGGCAGTATGTATTGTAATATTAGTTTTCAATATCTCAAAGACTAATTCCAACTAGAAAGAGGAACATTTGGAAATTGCAAATTTGGGTTCCCCACATAAATGTTGCTATCCACATGTATTATTACCACATGGCAAATGATGAAATATGTATGCAGTGAAAACAACTAGTACTAATTAGATATTATGGAAATGCGTGGCATCTGTAGAGCTGGTGCTTTGCTCTAGTCCATTAAAAACGAAAGGTCTGGTAATATTTCTACTTCACACTGAACTGCAGGGTACCTTGAAATTAAGGCATACAGCATAACACCACTTTCAGTTATATCCAAGGTTTCAGATTTTTCAATATGCATTGTATTTTATGTGAAATTATTAAAATAATAACATTATTTTTTTTGTAATTGTCCTTTTAAATAAATCTCTAGCAAGAACATGTTTCTGCATACATGTACCAAGCACTGAACTTTGAGCAGTGTTATACTGGTATTTGTGCGACTATTAGTTCCTGTTTGTACGAAGTCCAAAAATATGGATTTAAGGTAGCAAGAAGGGTGTTATGAAATTTTTGAATAAAGAATTTTATGTATGTCATCTCATTCAAAACTTTCATTTACCGTCAGAAAGACTAGATATAGAGGAACATACAGTATTAGGATATAGTTTGTTTACACAAGTATCACATGATTTCAAAAAAAATGCATTATTGAACCCTCCTACAGAAGTACACATCAGCCACCTATGCTAACTCAAGTACTGACTTATGGGGACTCTGCCTCAGATAGGCTATTAAATCTGGGTGACTCGTACTAAAGTTGTTTCTTTAACATCGGGTGCATCAGCCCCTCACTATTTTTGTCCATTTCAGCGAGCTCTATTAATCAGGTGTGGTATATAGCTAGGGCACTAAAAGTTCTTCCCCAGTTGAAGACCATTTATACCCAATTACCGGTACCGTACAAACTTTGAAATGGTCTATGTAACATATCTATCCTCTCCCTCATAATCTAGTAGTCTTGGAATTTTAGCAGAAAAATTGATTTGCCTGTTCACCTATTAATTTTTCCATTTCATCTTTATGGCATTTGTAGCGTTCTTTGACTTCTCACAAATATTTAGACCAGTTCATGAATACCTACCTGTAGGGACCATCCAATTAGTGCCGTTACCAATATGCATGTCCATTTAGGCAGGTTTCATTCATGAAAACGAACCAAGTGGGTGTTCACCCATTAATTTCATATATATATTTCTTGTATTATTACATAGTTCAGGTCTAATAGGTTTGACAATGAATGCAGTATTTGTAATGTACACTGTTCACCGAGGGATTGTCACTTTCAATTATATAATGACTCTCCATCCTAAAGACTCGTGTATACTAAAATATTTCTTGACAATGGGCAGTTTAGGAGATCAAGAATGAGTGTCCTGATATTCAACTACATATGGATAGAATTGTACAGATTGACAACTTTCTGTCATTTTAATCTCCCTAAATAAATAAGAATATAAAGACTGCTCACTGAAACAAGGCATATTGAGTTACTAAAATGTCACTAAATTTCATTTTTTTTTTAAAAACATAATTGAGATTAAATATTGCACAAGTGATATCAGGTAAGCAGATTACATGGAATGAGATAAAGAATGATAGTACATGGTGGGTATGACAAATAAATGCAAAGTACATGGCTGAAAACATACACATTCAACATAATTATTTTATGACTGTACATAGAATATGAACAAAAACCACATCATCCCTTGTTGTCTAGTATTTTGTTCTCTTGGTTTACAAGAATATGATATTATTAATCCCATATTCTGCTATGGTGGACATTTACTTGATAGAATTTAAGCGAGAGTGAACACTTCTTGTAACAGCTTGTTAAAATGCTGAAGCAGACATGGAATGCACATTACTTGTCTGCAAGTCCTGTTTCTTTGAGTTTATTGAAAAAGAATCGTTCCAAAGTATTAGCACATTTACAGTACTCTGTATCAGGGTCGTTATAAGCACGGCAATTACTGAATATCCTCTGTGTATCAGCTATAAACAACTTCTTAGATACATAATATCTACTTTTTAATCTTTCAGTCATGGTCTTAAGATCTGAAATTGGTTAAAATATTGTGGCATTAGTATAGCTACATGTATTTAAGTAGGTTATCATTACTGGTGTGGGTAGAATAATGTAAACCATAAAGTGTGCTTAATTTATAGCTCTGTATCAATTATTTTTCACCAGTTATGAGTGGTTTGCATAAAGACGATATGGGTTTACGCCTTGTCTCAACAATGGGTCACATGCAAACTGTAATTGCTCCAACAAAAGCCACAAAGTGTATTAATTGTATTCGTAAAAATATGACTTATTTTGACCATAGACACACCTATGTCTTTACATGCACTACTAATAGAGCTAATGCTGATGAAC